TAACTGATTTTCACGAAACTTAGCACACATCATTCTAGGCCCAATTCAGTACGCTACCAAATTTCAAATCGAAAGATATATTGGAACTTTGGTGCACCATTTACCTTGAAACGGACGAAATTATATATGGAAGCTCTATCTATATCTGAACCGATTTTTCCCAATTTCTATAGGGATTGTCCTAGGGCCAAATAAATCAGCTGTGCCAAATTAGATCCAAATCGGATGATAAATGCGACTTGTTCTTTGTTTACAATTTTACATCAACAGACGGACGGACATGCATAAATCGTCTCCGAAAGTGATTCTATGCATATTCTCAAAAGGAACTATGGGTCTATCTCGTTTCCTTTTGCCTATTACAAACATATGCACAAAGTCATAATGCCCTGTACCACAATGAGTTGAAGAGTATAAAAAGCGATACCGGAAACAGGGCTTAGCTGTGCAGTTGAAAAATGTCCACATGATATGTGTCGGAATTCGTGATATTAATTCGGGCACAATACATATTGAGGCGGCTGTACCATTCCGATCTTAATTGAGCTAAAACCAATCTCGTGTGTCTAGGCAGGTGTCGTTTTCTGCTGCTATTTGTGGTGGGTGAACTCATTGCTCTCTTTTAACGATAGCTCTCTCTCTCTAGAACTTGTAGGCCTATTCTTACATGCCTGGGCCTGAGAATCCTATTTATAGCATGAAAGCATGAATGATTCCGGCAATAACACCTAAGCAAGTACTGCATTGACAACATCCTGTTGTGAAGATGTACGGGAGGAAAATATAATAGCTCGGAAGGACAAATAAAAAAATTATGAGTGTCGTGAGGGTTTTATTGACAGTAAGGACATCTATTTAGGATTCCGGAAACAATGCACTTTTGATAAGAATTAAAAACATTTTTATATCCGAAACTAAGCCTCTCAATGCCCGAAATTATAGGAGGATGTTGGTGTAGGACCTAATACCATCTCTAGCCTTCTGTATGGCTTCGGAGACCACCTGTTGCTACACAGATTTCATGGAGTTCGCTATCGACAATCTGTTGACGTCCGACGGAAAAACCTATGCGAATTAGCCATCTATGTATGATTATGGTTTGGATGACACGACAAATAGCATGCCAGCAGGGTCTGTCTGCTTGAAAACTGGCAGCATTCTGGCAGCCAGAGATTTTGTTTCCCACCTTTCAACTCCGAGGGAAAATGAAGATGGATATCGTCCAGGAAGTGAATAGAAACACTATTGTGAATAGTAATTGAATATTTCGCTCCCGGAAAATCGGAAAATAGTGTCGACGTTTGGTTGCAAAAGAATTTGTGCTCTATATGTTCCAGAACAGATATTTCAGAATACAAAGGTTGTAATTCCGAGCGCTTTATTTTGCAAGGATCTCTACGGTGTGTCGCTAAGGAAGTTCGGACTGGGCCTGCATAATTAAGAATGAAACGACCGATAGCCACTGGTTATGAAATTGGAGTGCGAAGAGAAATGAAGGGGGATATCAAAAACCAACTCAAGAATTTTGGAATTATAGACAGTTCTAAATTGACTACTCACGTCCAGGAAATGAAAATTAACACGATTGATTTAGGTTGCGCTCCAGGTAGAAGTTAGTGGTGGTGTCTAAATACATGGAAATTTTCTGATAAATAGTAAATCTTAGAACAGAGACGATGCCCTGTCTAGCACTATAGGTGAGTATGGATGTTTTTTTTTTATCAGGGAACGAATGTTACAAGAAATTGAAAAGGAGCCCACACTCACAGCTGACATATTCAGTTGAAGAATTTATTATAATCTTCACCACACTGTGGTACAGGGTATTATGTCTTTGTGCATATGTTTGTAACAGGCAAAAGGAAACGAGATAGACACATGGTTCCTTTTGAGAATATGCATAGAATCACTTTTTAAGTCAATTTATGCATGTCCGTCCGTCCGTCCGTCCGTCTGTCCGTCTGTCCATGTTAAATTGTAAACAAAGTACAGGTCGCATTTATGATCCGAATTGAATGAAATTTGGCATAGGTCACTTATTCGGCCTAAAATCGGTTCAGATTTAGATATAGCTCCCATATATATATTTAACCGATTTAATGTAAACGGTCCCTATATATCTTTCGATTTGCACGAAATTTGGTACAGCCTAATCATTTACGTCTAGAATGATGTCTGCCAAGTTTCATGAAAATCGGTCCAGATTTAGATATAGCTCCCATATATAGTTTCGTCCGATTTCATGTAAATGGTGCACCAAAGTCCACATAAATCTTTCGATTTGCACGAAATTTGGTACAGCCTAATCATTTAGGTCTAGAATGATGTCCGCCAAGTTTCATGAAAATCGGTCCAGATTTAGATATAGCTCCCATATATAGTTTCGTCCGATTTCATGTAAATGGTGCACCAAAGTCCACATATATCTTTCGATTTGCACGAAATTTAGTACAGCCTAATCATTTAGATCTAGAATGATGTCTGCCAAGTTTCGTGAAAATCGGTCCAGATTTAGATATAGCTCCCATATATAGTTTCGTCCGATTTCATGTAAATGGTGCATCGAAAGTCCCTATATATCTTTCGATTTGCACGAAATTTGGTACAGCCTAATCATTTAGGTCTATAATGATGTCTGCCAAGTTTCGAGAAAATCGGTCCAGATTTAGATATAGCTCCCATATATAGTTTCGTCCGATTTAATGTAAATGGTGCCCCAAAGTCCCTATATATCTTTCGATTTGCACGAAATTTGGCATAACGTACTGAATTGATTCTAGAGTGATGTCTGCCTTGTTTCGTGAAAATCGGTCCAGATTTAGATATAGCTCCCATATATAGTTTCTTTCGATTTCATGTAAATGGTGCACCACATATATCTTGTGATTTACACGAAATTTGGCATAACATAACGATTTGCACGAAATTTGGCATAACGTACTGAATTGAGGCTAGAGTGATGTCTCTCTGTCTGTCTGATGTTGTCCGATTTCATGTAAATGGTGCCCCAAAGTTCCTATATATCTTTCGATTTGCACGAAATTTGGCATAACGTACTGAATTGAGCCTAGAGTGATGTCTGCCAAGTTTTGAGAAAATCGGTTCAGATTTAGATATAGCTCTCATATATAGTTTCGTCCGATTTCATGTAAATGGTGCCCCAAAGTCCCTATATATCTTTCGATTTGCACGAAATTTGGCATATCGTACTGAATTAAGCCTAGAGTGATGTCTGCCAAGTTTTGAGAAAATCGGTTCAGATTTAGATATAGCTCCCATATATAGTTTCGTCCGATTTCATGTAAATGGTGCCCCAAAGTCCCTATATATCTTTCGATTTGCACGAAATTTGGCATATCGTACTGAATTAAGCCTAGAGTGATGTCTGCCAAGTTTTGAGAAAATCGGTTCAGATTTAGATATAGCTCCCATATATAGTTTCGTCCGATTTCATGTAAATGGTGCCACAAAGTACTTATATATCTTTCGATTTGCACGAAATTTGGCTATTTGCTAAGTTTCGTGAAAATCACATATAGTTTCGTCCGGTTTCATATAAATGGTGCACCAAAGTCCCTATATATCCTTCTATTTGCACGAAATTTGGCATAACGTACTGAATTGAGCCTAGAGTGATGTCTGCCAAGTTTCGAGAAAATCGGTCTATATAGCTCCCATATATATTTCATGTTAATAGTCCTGTTTAATATACCCATAGTGGTGAAGGGTATCATATAGTCGGCCCCGTCCGATTTTACTACTTTCCTTACTGGTTTTTGTTTTGATTTTTGGGGTGTTTAGAAAGGTTTAGGACTCTATTGGTATTGATTTGTGGAGAAATTGATGTCAACAATGGCATAGTCTCCTTATCAAGACGAGGACTTGGTAATTAGACCAATATTCATCGAGGTGACCACGTATCGATAAGGCTCCCTGTGAATACAGTCGGATTGACGGCAAACCATATACACTTATGAGCACGAGTTCGCATAATACCCCAGCATAGGGAGTCATCCTTTAGGGGTGGAGATATATATAGATAGATATATATATTGATATATATCGTTGACTGGATAAATAAACAAACGTTTCTAAGGTGGATGATCGATGTAGGCGTATATCAATTTTTAAACAACTCATATCGATTCATTGAACCGTGTAATGTTTTTTCAAGCAGAAATTCTTGAAATTTCAGGTATTCCTTGATATTAGAGTGAAGATGTGGAAGAAATAAAGACGATCGAAAATATATTTTGTAGATCAAGACCTTGACTGTTCGACAGATGTTAACTATATACTTTATAAACTTCTTATAATCTATTAAGGAAAACAGTGTTTTTACAAATGACGAGCACGATAACTCAAAATCTATTAATCCGATTGTTTCCAAATTTTAACATGTTTTTTTTAGACGTATGTAGCTATCGTCTGAACTAGTACAAATGCAGTCGGTGAAGATCTTCCTTTTTTTCTATCTTAAATTCAATTTTGTAGGATTTCGAAATACATACCACTGCACAGGATATACGACCACCAACACGCGTGCCCCAGGCTCGATAAACTTTATAGCGTGTAGCGCCAGTTGCCAGAAATCCAACAAATAATATCATGAATCCCAAGGTAGCCATTGTACCGCCAATTATAATAAAAATCATGCGAACTGTTTCAATCCTGAAACAAACAAAAAACAATACGTTTTTAAAGAGAAATCTAAACAATTTAAGGACAAACATACATACCATATCAGTCTTAAATGGAATACTTGATCCATCATAATTACAGTTAATGAAGCTCCCCTGTACATGGTGCCGCAGAATATGCCAACGCCCAATAGACACATAAGAGTGGCTATTAGGGTAGCATAGGGTATTCTTGCCATACATGATTGGCAGCAATCACCTGTAAATAAAAAAATGAAATATGAATATAAAATATTGAAAAAGTAAATGATCAAGGTAAGTAAATCTAATTATGATTTCAAAACACAACTACTACAAAAGAAAAAGTAACAAAATTTAAAAATTCAAATAATAAAGAAATTGTTTTTTCCAACGAAAAATCGGCGAATTACTGGAAATTGAAATATGCTAGTGCTAAGTGGAGGGCGATGATGTGAAGAAAAAAATTCCATTATAATTCATCCTACCTTCACCACCATCACGTTCTGTATAACGATCAATGGATAATTCGGAACGATGTGCTCTACGCCGATTACAGCTTCCAATGAGTGGTCTAGCATTGTAGGCACGCGTTAGTACACCATCATCTTCGAAATTTGTTTCCAATAGAATTTCTTCGCGTGGATCAGGCACGCGATTCGGATTATTACCACCACCAGCAGCAGGGGAAAACATTTTATTTATGTTATGTTATTGTGTTTAATTTTTACAAGAAGATCATATGAATGGAAAGGGCACACACACGCGACTTTAATTTATAACATGTCTATCTATTGGTAAACAGAATAAATTTTATAATTAATTACTATGTGGAGATGCGTCAAGTTCACTGAGGTCCGAATTTCATGAAATTTTAATTTGCTTTATTTTTTTGTTTTTTACATTTTGAGTGGGTGACACATTCTGCTATCGCAATTAAACCAAGTGTACAGTGGGCCAAAATAAATAAAATATTTAGATAATTTTTAGGGGGATTGACAATTTTCTGGTAGAACAAAGCCCTCATATATACTAGAAAGTGTAACTACTAGAAGTGTAACTATACTAGAAAGTGTAAAAACTATATCGATTTTCTAAACTATTCTTTATTATCGAATATAGTTTGTATTGCTTCCCACCTTTTTTAACCCACTGTAATTATAATCTCCCATTTTATCTTATCAGTAACTGGAACGATTTGCTTTCATACTCAAATGAGTATAGATAGGGAGTTGCATTAATGAGTGAAATAACAAGAGCACTTTTTTTCTCGAAAAGTGGGTGACTGAATATCAGTTATGTCGCAATGTTATTGTGAATTACGATGAATCATAAAAGTAATGAGTGACTACTCTTTGTAGTTCTCTCAGTCACTTGTTTGCGGAAAAAAGATAACACCGTTTAACTTCTATTTAAACGTTAATTTGAAATTCAATTCAATCAGCCAAAAGCTAGGGACACAGATCTAACTGTGGCAACTCTTGAGACTAAGATAAGGAAACGTTGGTAAATAGTACTAGCCGATAGGTCGTTCCGTCCTAAATTTGGATTTCCTACAATAAACATCGCAAAATAATGCACTCCAATTATAAAATGTGCTTTGCCCAGATGGCGACCATCGAACACCTCCATGAGAAGACCTAGATGTTGTCAGTCAAGCAACATAATGTGTTGTTGTTGCTGGAATGCTATCTATCCCAACCATCACTTAGTGATGCATGCTCCACCTCCACGACACATCCGTCAGTATTTAATGTGCTATGACATCGCGAAGGCACCCAAAACATCATTCAATCGAACATCAACATATCGTCGATAGCGAACTCCATTGAATCTGTACATCAATAGACGATGTCAACCAAATTCCTCCTGCAATTTCGGACAGTAAGATAATTGTCCTAGGAAAACCCGTTGCATTCTCGCAGAAATAAGGTTTGGATATAGTAATGTTTTTATATCTTATCGAGAGTGAATTGTTTCCAGAATGCTTAGTAGGTGTCCTTACTGCCAGCATGACACAAAGCACTATTCAATTGTCCATCTGAGCCAACAAATGCACCCAAACATTCAACGGCAATTCAAAAAACTCGATAACCGACAACAAACCCCCACATAGGTTAAACAATAAGATACCTCAGCGTTCCAACAGCAACACCCCTCAGCGGTCCAACAGAGTTCAGGCCGGTTCTCGGTTCAGCAACACCCAAGTTCGGACCGTCTACCCAACGAACATGGGGCAAAAAAAAAAAAAAAAAAAACGCCTATTGGGTCAACTAGAGAGAATAAAGGAAACGCAGATGCAGAAACCGATCTCATCGATTTTGAGTTTTGAGTCATAGGTATCCTCCAATCTCCACAAAAAATGGACTAACCAGGAGAATTTCATCTTCAACCACTTCTTGATCCCTCCAACTAAAAGATCTTAAAAGGTTTTCTAAATATGGAGAAGTGAAATGAAAACGTCAATCGCCACTTCTTCCTTGACTTCCACATCCATGGGGACAACATCACCATTTTCTTCTACTTTGGTTTCTTCTGCAATTTCTCCATCTATGGGGTAAACATCATAATTCTGATCTATATTCTGGAGATTAACTTCTTGTTCCTGTTTTCCAAGATTCGTTCCGTCATCTTCCTTTTTCTTCAGCTGGTCCATAGATCCTGCCTCGCTAAACTGCAGGGTTTCTTTTTGTTTCTGCTTTTCATAGACTTCTGGTTCTAACTCGGAACGGATTTTCCAACCTACCGCTGAACTTTTTCTGGCCAGCACCAGTGGAATGTCACTATACTTCTCTTTTGTAAATAAATTCCCTCCATAGTGAGGGCTTGTCAGGGGCACCAAATATTGGAAAGTTTTCATAACTTCCTTTAGCTCCTTTACTATATCGAAGTATATTTGAAGCATTCTATTTATTTTGAAGAATATATATATCAAAAGAGTGAGCTCCATATACGACGTTTTCAAAGACTCCATTTTAATTAACGCTGTGTTTTTAGCCATGCAAATCATGTCTACCGTCCTCACATTGGCTAATTACAAGTTCCCCAATGCAAAATCATACATTCTGGAGTTTTTAGCGAAGATTTGAAAATAAAATTCCAGATAATAGCACTTGGTGTCTTTCACTTCCTTTATAATGGTTTCACACCTTCAGTTCCGAATTTATTTCTTCATCCTTAATCTCGGGTGCAAGTTTTTTCAATTCTTCCAATTTGTCTTTAATAATAGCGAATATGGAAATTATTTAAAAACCAATACCGATCAATAACGTATTTCCAAAAGTACCTATGTATATATCTCAACTCTTCACACCAATTCTGACCGCAACAGAAATCTATTTCTATACTAAATTTGGTATCATTTATTGACCTTTGTACACTTGTAATACTTTATAAAACATCCTACATACCCCAATCCAACACCCCTACAGTGATCCGAACTCCAAATGTCAATATTCCAGCTCTATATTTCACCTAACTCCAAATTTGGTAACATTTAGTATACATTAGTACGAATTTCCAAAATCCTACACCCCAACAATGATCCTAATGATCCATCGTTTCACCCAAATCCAAATTGTACCAATTATAGTACGATTTAGTACTTTTCGTACACATAAGTAAAAAAATTTCCAAAACTACGTACATATCTTAATCCTACAGTTCAATTTGTGTCTCCAAATTAAATTTGTACTAAATGTAGTACCATATAGTACTTTTCGTACACATTAGTACACGCTTTCAAAGCCATCTCCTTATATAGACTCTACATCCAACCCTAATACTCATTCCAAATTTCCAGTTTTAAGCTCTATCCATTCACATGCTACGAAATTGTACTAAATTTAGTACATTTTAGTACTTTTCGGATAGTTATAGTTCGAATTTCCAAAAACCCTTTGGTACATCTATCCTACACTCCATCATCGACCACCAATCCAAATTTCAGAGTTCTAGCTCTACCGGTTCGCCAAATACAAATGGAATCACATTTAGTACTTTTTGTACCGTTCTAGTACGAATTTCCAAAAAACCCAGCCTTATCTGTCACCTTTGGACCAAGAGTGAGCCTCACCCAAAATTATAAAAAACATCCTAGGAGTAGTAGCTATGTATGTGCAAAGCTCTATTGTGATCTCTGTCGTGACAGACGGACATAGCTAAATCTACATATTTTATTCTGATCATAAGGTGTACACCATTTCTAAATACAATTTAATATTATTTCGAATATTTTAGGCCATAACCTAACTGCATGTTACTTCCCTTGTTTTTTTTTTTTTTTTTGCGAACACTATTCGTTAAATTTTGAAATTCCAAAAAGTCAGTATGCTTCCCTAGCCAAGCCATGCATGCGAATGCGTTCGTTTGCACTTTACTACATTTATATATCAAAACAAGTCATGCAAAAAAGAAATGTTTCATGAATTCGCAAAGCCATGTGTTTTCAAATCAAATCATCAAAATGTAATTATGCGTTAAAGAAAATCATTAAACAAAGCTAGATAATTATTTATTTACAACTCCCTTCATATCATCTTAAGACAGACGGACATTTCATTGCAGTCCTTTACTTTGTTTACATGACAAAACAAAGGCAAGACTCGACAAGCATTAATTAATGCTTGGTGGTGGCTTCATTGAGAGCTACATTTACAAATACAGATGCACTTGTTTTACTATTCGTCGTAATCTTTTCAACTGGGAGTGGTCCCTCTACAATTCAACCAATTCTTAATTAATTACTAAATGAAACCCTAATTGTAATTGAATGCAATTTTTTTAATAGTATTAAACTTAATGCACAATTTTAGAACTCACCCATTGTTTCAGAACGTCTTTAATTAATCCAAATGTATAACGAAAGTGTCTAAGAAAAGAAACTTGTTTTTGGTGGTTCACTGACAGTTGTAGTTGTTTGGCTTAAAAACGTTGAGTTGTCCAATTGTGGTTGTTGCTGTTGTTGTTGTATGTATTCATGACAAGCTTGGCTTAAACACAATTTTGTTTTGTTTACATTATTTTTTAAAATTCTTTTTCACTGCATTTAAAATGTATATTTTCTTTTCTTTTTTGTAATATTTTTTTTTATAAAAATTCGGTGGTATTTAGCTTTATATGAAGATTGTATTGAAATAAACAAAAAAGTGTATTGAAAACAATTAAAACTCTAAACTCCAACTAGAAGATAGGGATATGTAAGTCGACTATCTCTCCATTTGCCAGTGTTTTCACTTTGACGGCGTCGTTATGATGTACAACCCAACATCGCCGTCAAACATATCCTTAGTAAGTGTTTACACTTACTAATTGTACGTAGATTGATATGTGTTTATAAATTATTTGACAGATTAAAGGGCTAAGCAGAATGCTCGCGTTGAGCCATCCGTCGCGTTATATGTTATCGAAAATACAACAACTACAAGGAAACGATATGCGTTTGTGTTATCGTTTCCTTGTGGTAAGCATTCTGCTTAGCCCTTAATTTAAGCAAATCTTAATATATAAATGAGGTTAAGTGAGTGAGTAACTGACTGACAGAACATCGCCCAGACGAAAGGGCTTATGTGTATAAAAATTATAAAATGGTACTAAATTTGGTACTATTTTCATTCAGTTGAGTGTGTAGAGATGGATAATCCTGATACTATTGGAGTACAGAATTAAGGTAGCTTTAAAAAATCGTACTTTTGGTA